TATCCTTTCAGTGCTTTATGTCATGAGTTCCATTCTACACAGCAGAAAGAGGTTCACCTAGAACTGAATATACCATTTGGTGAAATTCTAGCCACCTGTGAAGGTGCTAATGGCACCCAAGGAACCAATGACACCCAAGGCCCAAGGAACACTGACACCTACAAGGCTGGGTAGCACAAAGAATCATCCAGGGAGAGGGAGGCCGAAACATCTCCCTGATGTAATTGAAGTCTAAAAAGTACTGGGAGAGGAAGGGAGAGAAAAAGAATGCTTTGATCTGAATAATTACCAAAGGTGGATCTGAGCTCAATGAGAAAATACAGGTCTGATACATCAGACTGTTCTCTGGAATAAATCCTGCAGATGGAAGATGGCATTAAAGAATACATTTCTACCAGGCTGATATGGAGTAGCTGACAGTTTCATGGGCCTTATCGTGTTGAGCTGGGCTATCCAAGGGATAACAAAAGTTCACTCAGCTGGAGGGCAAGGCTGGAATCTGATATGGCAGTGGTTTATATGAAACTAAAATTAATCAGAAACTCATCAGCACTTAAAATTCACTTATCCCAGGGAAACATAAAACACCGCTTAGAATTCATAACCAATTTGCTTCAAAGCTGATAATGGCTAGGAGGTTACAGAGGAAATCTTCAAGTTTAGAAAACTTTCTTTCAATCTAACCATTTCTTCAGCTCTTCCTTCCAAAGAGGCTTTGCACACACTGTCCAAATCCAAGTTAACAGGTTAATTTGGGAAGCAAGATCTCTCTTTACTAACAGCCCAAAGGTGACAAACCATCATTTTCATCATAGCATGGTATTACCATAAACAGACCAGATGAAAAAACTTCAGTCACCCTACCCTCAAGAACCAATCATAGCATATCAAGAGGAAATTTTTCAGTAATTTAAGACCAGATTTTGGTTGACATTTAATGAATTTAGAAAGCTCATTTGATGAGAAGGTATTTGGCTGCCTATCGATTTCATTGAGCTATGTCCAGATCCCAGTAAAATAATTGTATCAAACAAATAACTGTACATTTGTTTAGAATGAAAATTTAGTTCTTTCCACTAGAAGGATATCTCTGCTATTCGAGGGTCAGAAGATAGAAGAATAGAAGACAGAAGAATTATACCACCACAAGCAACAATGTACATATACTTGCATATAGAGTTCACAGAATAGGATTATATATTAAATTATCTAAACTTGGGTGTGGAAAAAGAAGAAAAAAATTAGTAAGTTTACTTTATTAAATGCTTCATTAAAGCATTTAAATACATTTGACACAAATTCTAGACATACAGTTTGTCATCAGCAATTACAGACTGATGGATAGCTGCTGATAGTGTGCAACTCCATGCCACAAGGTATTCTGAAAATGTCTCCTAAAAACTCTGGAGGATGCTGGAGCAGTAGAACAAGAAAATATTCATGCTACTTTCCAGATGTCAGTTCCAAGTACCCATTCAAATATCACGAAATTTCAGTAAATGTTACCTTTCTAGGACAAGACAGTGTTATCAATTCCTTTTCACAATAGCCAAGCTTTAGTTACTTGAAGCAAGAAGTTTTTACTCCAGTCCAACAGCTTGGTTTTTTTATCCTGCTTATAGACCAGACACTCGTTAACCTCTCAGATCTCTGGAGAGTTGTGGTTTAAGGGAACCCAGGAGGAAAAGACAAATTTGGAAAGCCATTTATCCATCTCACTGGAATTGAGACATTATGGTTTTCATTCTTCCCCCACTCCCCAAAATACCAAATTTCCATCATCAGAGCTCTCTGAATAAACGAACATTTTGTTACTGGACTCAGGAAGAAAGAAACCACATGCCTGTTAGGGACAGGGTGAGGAGGAGTGGAGTATGTGCTTGGGAGCGTGTTTATTTGACTGGATTGCAGACGGTCAACCGAAGAACATGCAGATCATATATTTTTAAGCATTTCATACTGTCTTATTATTAATTCCAGCCAAAACCACCAAGACCAAAATTATCTGAAATTGGTGCTTGTGTGTCCTGACCCCAAAGCCAACAATGGTTCCATAAAAAAAAAATTAAAAAAATCCATGCTCCTCTCAGGTTTAAATTTTATTTTTTTTATTGATTAGAAGGCAGTGCCCTTTAGAGCTGATGGAGAAGACAGGTCTCCATAACTAACAAACTGAAATGTGGTCCTGGCTAAATTTTACTTCCAGGAAACTGAAACACTGCAGTACTTGAGAGAGGGAGGCCGTAAGCAGAGGGCTCTTCTAAAGGAAGGAGTTTTTATTGAACCTGTCACTTGTCATTAAACACTCCATATTTTACCTTAGCCTGATATTTTCATTAGCGCATGCAGACCTTTTTCATCTGTGAATGAAAGCATTCCCTTCAGCCTTGTTTTGAATATGGGGAAAGACTCTCTAAAACTGAGCCCACCCAAACAGGACAATTAGGTTCACAAAAGCAGGAAAGCCACTAGGCAAAAACAATATTAATACTATGGTAGCTGACACATTTCGGTGTTGACTATCACATTACACTTCAATCTTAAATTCTTACATGCATTTAATAATGGCTATTTTTAATCTCAGAAATATTTGCATATAATTATATAGAAAATAAGAGACACCAGTGCAGAATAAAACACAAGCAAAGAAGAACAAAGTAAGTATACTGCTGTATATTATCACTAATTACAGAACCTGAATGTAAAAAGGTTAAGATAATAAAATTATACACTTAGACATCTTTGTACCTAATTTTAGTTTCCCTGTTAGGCCACCAACCTACAACAAAGTAAAGCTGGAGAAAAAAATAGCAAACAACCTGGCTTCCTCAAAACAGACAATCACTTAGTCATTTCTTGCTCCTAGAGATAAGTTGGTTACATTGAAATTAAAAAAGACAAAATATTTGAGTAAAATTATGTTTAACTATGCCATTCACAGTTTTATATCTATGATCTTTCTATTGCTAAAACACTTCACAAGTAAAGAATTGGACAGGACACTGCAAAGACAGATATATATTCTTAAAGAACTCTGATGCAAAGCAGCACCAACTTTTGCCACCTAATTTCTGAGCAAAAGCTGCCTCGCTGCTGCCACCAAATCTATACAACGTCTTTGGATTATCAGAAACTGGTGTTAAACAGTTTTAATGGGATTTGAAGTAATCAGTAACCAAAGTAGCACTGTCTGTCCACTGCTACGCGCAATTCTACAAACACATTACATAACTTACAGCTTTTTACAAAATAAACCCAACAATAAATCAAAAAACCAAATCCAGAATTTTTTAGTATGCACATAGGAGCTGAGAGAAATCAGATTTCAGGCTTCTTTTAATGCATTCCATTTGTCTCAAAAAAAGAAAAGTGAAAAGGAGAAGAATAACTGTGTGGGGAAAAAGCCCAAAATGAAAGCTGTATCTTTTAAAATCTGAAAGTTCTACATAAACCCCAAGGATATGGTCTTGTGGAACAGTGTCATTTGCTTAATACACCATGCACGTAATTGCAAGGCAAATGTGAAGTATCACTTATTTTCTCAAAATTCAGATACAGATTTATTCAAACGCAGATAAGGAATCTAACCAAATATTGTATTAGGATCTTTTAAAAACATTTAACTAATACTCGGAGGACTGTGTTATTTAAACTTAATCTGCCACATAACGAGAGCCTGTGGATTGCCGTAGCGTTACGTCACAAAACCCATTAGCAGATGTAGAAATCCCGCATCCCTGCCTTTTATAAAAGTCTGTAGTTATGAAATCATTTTCATACACTTGGAACCTAACTGCATCAGTGCTCTGAATATAAAGGACTGGAACTGAGGGGGGAAAACCACAAAATGGTGCATCTGAGAGCATTCCATATGGACACATGTTTCTGTGGTTCTTTCAAAAGTTTTTAAAGAGTTGAAACCATCCCCCTGGAATTCCACAGAACAGAGTAAAGAAGTATCTGTTTAAATTAAGCAGGGGATTTATCTTTGCTAGTGAACTATTAGGATTTATTCTGTGTCTTCACTGTAGATGTATTAAGAAATGTAGCTGGTAACAAGAAACAGGATTTAACCTAGGATAACAAAGCAAAATACCTAAGAGAAGAGTTTCTCTCTGAAGATTTTAAAAATATTTTTGAAAGAGTGCACGGGCAGATTACTGTTTCCATGCTTTTTCTCACTCACCAAAAAGAAAGTTATTTTTGTAAATTAAAGAAATCACAGGCAAAGTATCTACTATCGCCTCAATTAGCATCATGGTATTTTTGCTTTACTTCCTGGCAATAGTTCAACATTTCTATGACAGCACTTGAAAACTTACCATTTGATAAACCATCTACATCTTATATCAACATATAGCACAATGAGAAATATCTGACTTGCTTTTATATCAGTGGCTTTCATGTACCTGGGCAGACCTGAGGTAACCAGCTAATTCTGTGAGGCAGCAGGACATTATCATTTCAGAAATAAAGCAAACTGTCTAGTAAGCATACCAAGAACTCATGAGGTAAAGTAGGGTTTCACTGTCAGAGAAGTATGAGTAAACACCCAAAGTGTAGTTCTTCACTTACCCCACAAAAGTTCCAAATTATTGTAAGAATACTTACTTGCTTATCTTTGATTTACTGAAGGCATCAATATAAGGTAAAACCAGCTGGGAAAATACACAAAACAGCTAAAGAAAAAGGCGGTTAGAAGAGCAGTGAAGAAAGAAAAGCCACACCTATCTGAATACTGGACAGATAAAATCAGTTCAATGCACTTCATAACCAAGTAGACAAGCAAAACTATTTCCCTTTTTATGAAAATGGAGTAAGCCATGAAGATGACAGAGGCTGCTTTCTATGAAATGCTCTGGGACAGATGTGTGTTTTTAAAGAATCAGTACCAATTTCTCAGGTAACAGCTGTGAAAATGGATCAGAAGGTGCAGCAGAAAGCAAGGTAGTTAAGCCTGGCTGAATGGCCGTATTGCTTTAATTCAATGCCCATGTTACCTGAAGCTGTTGGGAGCTGTCATTAAGATTATCCTCTCGTCTCCTGGCCTCCTCCAGCATCTGTGCACTCTTCTTTTTCTCCACTTGCTCTTTGTGCTTCAGATTTGCTACTTTCTTATTTTGATCTTTAACTTGCCTGTAAAAGAGAAGAGCATTCAGAGTGGAGTCCAGAGCATGCCTCCCATCAGCCCTAGCACTGGGCAACTGGACTGGGGAAGAGTGAAACTCTCAAGTATATCACTTCATTTCCAGAAGGTCAACAACACCAAGCTCATTCTCGAGCATTACCCTCAACTTTTAATTCAGCCAAAAGAATGCTTTGTTTTGCTCATTACTATTAACCCAAATGTGGAAATTTCTGAAACAAACCCCTTCATTATTATTATTTTCAAAAGGTGCACCTGCCCTCTTGTGACTATGTAACAGAAGTCTTTGCTTTGTTCATACACATACCTATAAAAAACACAGACATGTAAGAGCCTATTTTGGTTTGGGTACCACTATACCTAATGTAAGGAAAACAGGAGGATCAAAAGAAAAACCTAATGAGACATGACTTGACTATAGAGGACTACCTACAAGACCTAGGCAATCTGTTTCCAAAAGTAAAACTTTTTTTTTTCAACCTCAAATTCTACTTGTTTACTAGATATTTTGAGGGATTTCCTCTCCTTTCTTTTTACAGAAACAAGAAAGAGCAAGTAAGAACAAACTATTTCAGAAAGCGTGCATAATTTCCTTTTCACTTGCATCTATGAATTATTTTTTGATGATCCTGGCAACTACCACTGCCTGCAGACAGGGTTTGGCCTTTCTGGGCATTAAGACACATGGAGTATTGAAACTAATTACAGACCCTTTAATGTCAGCCTCCTGACCGCAGAAAACTGAAGTCTAAACTTTTAGTCCAATCAAAACAAAATAGACTAGCTTTGCTTCCTCAGCCCTTTTCTCCATAATTATATCTGGAGTTTGGATTTTGGAATAAAAGACAGATTCTTTCGTCGCAAGATTTCCCCAAAACATCATGCAAGTAGTAGAGACGGCTCTTTAATTTACTGTTTAGAAAGCAGAATGATATACTAGCTTCATATCTGGTATGTTATCCACATTGAGAGGGAAGAATGTTTCTTCTGTATTTCAGAAATACTTTAAGAACAGATCACAACTCTGATTGCTTCAGTATTTTCTTCAGAACTCGCAACAAAACTATGATCAAGAACACATCTCTTTGTAATATATATGTTCAAATTATGTGGCACATGGCTAGTCAGTGCTTTGAGTTCTTCCAAAAAAAAAAAAACAAGAGTAGGTTCAACACTAAGCTCTGCTTTTTGCAATGTAAGCCAACTGGAGCTGGGAAAATTGCAATGATAGCAATTTTTCATTGGTGCTAAACAAATTTCTATTAGTGTGAGAAAGTGCTGATGGCCTCCAAAGACCAAGAAAAAAAAAGGAAAGTCCTTTTTTGATGATGTTAAAACATTACTTGCATACTTAACTACCTTGTCCAATGGTTACAGCTGATTTGAGTCAGGATGCTTTTTAAACACATCCAGTGTAATTGTTAAGTTATTCTAACCCAGTGCTGCACACTGGCAATGGGCGCACTGCCCAGTTTGAAAGGAGACTTGTTCAGTGATTAAACAACTTATTGGAAATATTATGTTGGCACCAACTCAGCTTGTACAATAAATGGTTCTATCTGTCTGACAAAATAAACATAGAAAGTACGGCTAAGTCAATGAAGAAATGAAAATGTGTTAGCCCTACACATTCAACTCCATATGAGAATTCTTATTCAACTCCTAAATTAAGATTAGTGGAACTAATTATTTTTTAAAAACTTGTAAAACTAGATTCACCTGCTGGGGAAACTGGTCTGTGTTACTGTAATCACTGGTTAGATAAGAGACAACAATATTAATAAAGTCACAAGCTTCATCAAAATAAATATGAAGTAGATAAACTCCCACAGGGTACATAATGTTTTCAAACAAAATACTTGTTTCAAAGAAAGGAGTAATTATAAGGATAGACAGTAATGACAACCACCTTCTCATGACTGAACCAAAATTACTGCATTTCTAATATATTAGGTAGATATTTTGAGATAAACTGAAGTTTTCCTGAAACAGCTTAAAAGATGGAAATTACTTAGTGCTTGCAATACTCAGATCAATCCTCGTAACTGTCATACTGTTTGGAAACTTGAATTCATAGAATCATAGAATAGGTTCAGTTGGAAGGGTCCTTAAAGATCCCCCAGTTCCAACCCCCCTGCCATGGGCAAGGACACCTTCCAGTATACCAGGTTGAGCAAAGCCCCATCCAACCTGGCCTTGAATCGTGTGCAAGGATGCACCTATCACTCTATACCTCTGTTGTCAAAAAGCAACAGAAGTTGGGCAACAAGCCTTTCAAATAATACAGCTATCTATGTCATTACCTAAAATTTTCCCAACTGTTTAACTATATAGACTGTGAAGGTCACGTGAAACTTGAAATCCATAAATCTAAAAGGCTTACAGTCGTTTGATGCATAAACACATCTCGTCTTCTCTCAATGCCCATGGCACCAAATGACAATTCTCACTTCTATAATACTTATAATTACATAAGAGGTTTTGCATATACAAGCCCATAGCTCTTACACATTTGCACTATGGAAGTTCTATGAAACTGTGAAGAATCCATACTGTGATTCTGTAAAGAATTCTCCTTTTTCTTTGTCAGACAACTTTCAGTCTTCAAAGCTGAAGTCAGAAAATTATGTTCTTACATATGCAAGCAATATTTAAAAATATTTGAATATGCACGCACATATTTTAATATCAACAGACCTCAGAAGCTTGAGAATCACCCAATTCACTGCTCGGTAAGGCACTTCTGTTGCTATTTTGAACACTGAAATACTTCTGATGATTGCTATAGAACTATTTCATCTTCACACCACTACTGAACAATGTGCATAACTGGACAATAAAATGAATGGAAATAATAAAATAGAACACAATTAGTATGTGTCTTAAGTTAGCACACTGCAACTGGTACATTCTATGAGGAAACAGTCAATAGGAAAATAAAGATATGTCATATGTACACAAGGCAGCTAATCAGGACTGCAGAAAGAAACAAAGCCCTGGAATTCCTTCAGTTTGAGAGATTCATTTTGTAAACTCAGTGTTCTTTTAACTCTTCTGGATGCAATTACACACATATACAGAACATAGCCCTTTCAAAGGGATAGCAAAGTTGTAAAGAAACCCTTCATCTGTAATAGTATTTTTATTAGAACTCAAACTGCACAAGATTAAAGACAGCAAAAAGAACAGGAATTAATTACAATGATGGCAAAAGTGTAGAGATTTATGAGTGTTTTCTAGAAAGCATTAGTGCTAGCATGTAGAGCAACTGAGTAAACACCAATTTGCAATGTGTACATGGAGTTCTCATCATGACCACATGAATTTCTGAGAGATATAGGCCATTAAATATAACCATAAGTACATACTCTTACTGAAACATCTTTTCAAAATGGGACTACAGAGAAAGAATGGCGGTGATCCTAATAAAAACTGGAGAACCAGTTAGTGTTCAGTGAGATGAAGCTTTAAAAGAAGGATATCACTGTAACCAACAGAAACAATAACAAAACTAAGAAAAGCAAAACTACCTCATCTCAGATGATGTTTATTCTCAGTCACCCTCAAATCAAATAATAAAAAAGACACATAAAAAAGAAGAAAAATCTAATAAGGGTGTTTAAGTACTGTTACAATGGAATACATTACAGGAAAGGAAGCAAAATCAAAATCAGGCTTCCGTTTTAAAAAAATAAAACCCAAACTCTTTCAACTAAAGACAGGCCAAGATTTTTCAAATTAATCCTTTCCCATCCTTTGATTTTGGGTGCCCAATTTAAGCCATATGCCTGCTGAAAAAGGTCAGTATCCAGGTTTCTTAATCTAGACACTGAAAATAATTATTGAGTTCTATGACTTTTTCTTTTTTAATGAAACAAACCTTTATCATTTAAAATAAGCCACAGCTTTCCAATTTTCTGTGAAATTCTTGAATTTCCAATGATGAAGTACAACTAAGCACCACGGGGAATGAATTAAAAAGAAATCACAATAAGCAATAAAAACTTTCAAATGAGAAGACTTCATATTTTAAAATAATTTTAAAACAGTAAGACAAATATAAGCAATAGAAAACCAGTGGACCATCAAGCATTCCTGAAAAGTGGAAAGTCATATTGTTACCTGTGAGTCCTTTGGAAGAGTTTTCTTCCCTAATATAAATACAAAATGTATACACACATACTATATTTCACCTCATGAATACACACCCTAGGGAAAAAAACATACAGATCCTGTGCACAGCTACAGAAACAGCCTGTTTTATTCATCTGACTTAGGTACTCAGAAAATATTTCCATGTGTCAGTCAGCCATGTCAGAAAGACTGTTTAGCTCAAGCCTTCACTGACGTAGCATTACCACCACCCACAGGACAGTTCTCTGTTGCTGCAGCTACTAATCCTAACGCAGATGAACTTCATTTGCTTTAAAGCACACTTTGCTCCTCAACATGAGTTAAACTGATGTAACAGTCAACATTACTGAAAAAAACTTGAAAGAAAACTGTATGCAATGAAGTAATATATTATTTAGTTTAAAATTGACAATGTGCCTTGTATTATGAAATATTAGATTCTGCAGTGTATAACACAGAATCACAGACTATCTCAAGTTGGAAGGGACCCATAAGGATCGCCAAGTCCAACTCCCTGCTCCTCGCAAGCCTTTCTAAACCTAAACTGCATGACAGAGTGTTGTCCAGATGTTCCTTGAACCCTGGTGCCATGACCACTTCCCTGGGAAGTTTGTTCTGGTGACTGATCACCCTTTAGTGAAGAACTTTTTCCTAATACCCAGCCTGAACTCCCCCTGATGCAGCTTCATTCCATTTCCTTGTGTCCTATTGCTGGTCACCAAAGGAAGATCAGCACCTCCTCTTTGGCGCCCTCCTTGAAGAAGTTGGTATAATTGCATAAGACCTCAAAGCACTGTAGTCCTAAGAGATGCAGAAAAGTACATTCATTCACTTGTGGAATGAAATGGAGCGGCCA